TTAAATCATGATTTGAACATTTAAAATTTTCTATAGGTGCACATTTTGAAATTAATGAGAGAAACTCATTAAAACCATTATTTTTAAATACAAATTTATGAAAATTTAAATTAAAAAGCTGTATAATGAAACTATATAAATCTATGGTAACTTGATCAGGATATAATAAATTACAATCGATGTATTGGCGAGCCTGAATAATGAAATGTTCCTTTAGGATTTTCGGTGATGATAATTTTGAAATGCAAACTGTACAATTTTTTGTAATTTTTTTAATTTTTTTTATAATCCAGCCGCTGACGTATGCTCTACTGCCAGAGTTAATTAGACTTCCAGTTTGCTCTAATGTAGGGAATGTAGTCAAAGCATCATGTTGAGCAGAACAATTTTCTTCATCTTCATTTTCTTCATTTAAAGGGATTTCATTGAATAAAAAATCTTTCAAGTTGTCCAAAATGCCATCACTATCATCGTCTTCACAATTTGCACCAACAGAATGAGTAGACGTAAAATTATTGATCACTAGAGATTTAAATGAAGAAATAAAATTTGCAGGTGTTGGGTTGATGTTCCTTAATCCGTGACTTCTAATTGATCCAAAAAAATTTTCAATGGGGTCTTGATTGAAATTTCTTAGAAGAATGTATTTGAAACCTGCTTTTAGAAGTCGCTTACAAATTAGTTGAAGTCCTTGAATAGTAGTTATCCAGTTGGCAATTGATGGAATTTTTTTCGTTGTTTCATACTTCATACTTCGTAGAACATCTAAAGCTTTACTCCAAAATACCCAGTGAGGAGAGGTCAATGTGACTGCGCTACGAAGATCCTTGCCAGGTGTTGGTTTTATGACATTTCCATTTGCACTATCGAACAGGTTGTCAACAAATAAGCACAACTGACCAGTGTCTGCAGCTTCACGATCAATACCTACAAAAAAATAAAAGCAATTTATATATACAATAAAATTAACAAAAAAAAGGTCGATTCTATAATATTTTGTTATTAACTCACTCGGTGTGCAATTGTTTGACATAACAGCAATCCTCTTCATTATTGCACCGACGCGTTGACTAAATACCTGCGCAGCATGTGACACTTTCATTTTCTTAATTTTCTCTTCATATACATGGGCATCAGTAAGTTTAGGTACTAGACGATCTCCTTCTGTGCTCTGATCTTTATCAAACTCATAAAACTGAGTTATGTGCTTCCAAGAAGCTTTTTTTTGGCTGTTGTCATAAATAAAATTTAGATCTTTTGTTATAAGGTTGTTTCTAAGACCTTTTAAAAGATGTGGAACATCAAAGAGAGGAATGATTTCCTTATCATTTATTTCAAAACCAAAAAGACGGTTTTCTTTTTCTTCCTTCATATATTTAGTGTTTGTTTCTTGACGCAATCTATTTATCGCAGCCACATTAGTAGGTGCTTGGTCACATACAGTAGAGATGACAGTAAGACCAGTTGATTGTACAGCTTCTATCACTTCTTTGATAATTTTGGCAAGCTTTAGACCATTCATGTTGCTGGTAGTGAGGTAAAATGCAACTGGCTGCTTAAATTTTTTCCTGATACCTCGAACCATGAACACAAGAGCTTTATCTGCGAATTTAGTTGAGCGATCACTTTTCCCAAGGTCTTCAAAGCCAATAACCTTACCGTTTGATTCATTAAATTGTAAGGATGCAGAAATGGACACTTCATCAAAAATAACCGTGCAGAATCTATCGAGTTTGTTTTTCAATTTTTTCACGGACCCTTTTAAATGTTCAAAAATTTTTTTGTTGATGCCTGTTTCAAAAGGTACCTTTTTCAACAGATCAGTGATTGACTTTCGTGAAGGTAGTGCGAACACTTTTGAAAGTGTCGAATATGCCTTCCCACTTTGTTTAAAAAGAGACAATGCAAACACCTTGTCATCAATCGTAAATCGTCTTCCTCGTGGTTTCTGGGGTTGCATCCGCATTTGGGATTCAATAAAATTTTGTGTAAACTGATTTAGTCCATTTAAAGAGTTTGCATTTGAGTTGATGTATGTATCGGCAATTTTAATTCTCTGTTTAGCATCTGAATATCGTTTCTTTAGTATTAAATTTCGATGTTTGTACACTCTCACAGAATTGTATAAAAGAGCTTTGCGAGGTGTCAATTGTGCTCTTCGTTGGATGTTAATGTCTTTTAATAAACTTTTACAGTTTTTTTTCATGCTAAATAGTATTCTTGGCAGCAAAGGAGTACTTTCATTTTGGTCCACGCCTTGAAAATGATAAAAAATTAGTAATTAAATAATGTTTTATTATAATATATAATTAACTGTCTACTTCTACCAGTATTAACATATAAGAAAGTAAGAATTGTAACATTACTTGGGAAACAAATGACTTTTTATCACAAAATATCATATTATTACTTTCAGTAGAATATTGACAAGATTTAAAATTTGAAATGATACGTTCAATTTCACTATATTATTACTTTGTATGAAAAGAACAAGTTTTTGATAGAAAAAAAAAAACTAAGTCTCCCCAAGTAAATAATCAGGACATGTTATACTTGATAGCAGCTATATAAACTCAATTTCAATTCTTAATAAATATACAAAATCACTTAATAGTTACCTTCGTTGACACTGATGTCCATGACAGAAGAAACTGTAGATACATTCATCACACATACTGCGTTTGCTGAGTCACTTTCATTGTCGACGTTGCCTATTTCAATAATACATAAATTATAAAAATGAAATACCAATCATCAAAGTTAAATGAACTTAATATTTACAGTTAAACAAAATCACTTAATAGTTACCTTCGTTGACACTGATGTCCATAACAGAAGAAACTGTAGATACATTCATCACACATACTGGATTTGCTGAGTCACTCTCATTGTCGACGTTGACTATTTCAATAATACATAAATTATAAAAATGAAATACCAATCATCAAAGTTAAATGAACTTAATATTTACAGTTAAACAAAATCACTTAATAGTTACCTTCGTTGACACTGATGTCCATGACAGAAGAAACGGTAGATACATTCATCAGACATACTGTGTTTGCTGAGTCACTCTCATTGTCGACGTTGAACATCTCAATCATACCTGAAAGTTGAAACTTAATATTAATAAGTAAAGTAAAATGAACAAACAATTTATAAATCAAACATCCATTAATACATTAATAAACACATGCAATAACTAAAGTTTCAAGCAATTTTTTTTTGACATGCTGCCTTATTTAACAAAAAACAGATACTCGAACATCACAATTTAGGTTGCTAGTACATAATATTTCTAAGACTACAATTTAACTTAGCAAACGTATAACTACATCATGCCATATTTATACATTAGATCAAAAACAAACCAATTATTGACATCAGCGCAAGAAGATTTGATATTTGGATATCAAATTTTCTAAATTAACTAATACAAATCAACCAATTAAAATTGGAATCAAAGATAAGTTAATTTACAAGTAGTTGATTTTATACAGATGTTGTTTACAATATATTGTGTGACCCACAAACAACATATATAATTTCTATGAAAAAAAAAAGTATATTTCAAGTTAGATATTAAATGATATAATAATATATGTAAAATAAAAAATGAAAAAAAATGTGTCTTTACCTGGTAAATTTAATGTTGGCACAGCATTTGCATTCAGCTTATGTAATCCCAAACTTTTAAAACAAGGTTCAAAATGTTTGTCACACATGACATAAGATTTATAAACATCATCAATAGTCTTGTTCAATAACTTATTGTTGCCAGACCTCTGTACCCAAATGTTAAACCTAATCGTATCCTTAGGGAAACGATGTCGTCGTGTTACTTTATCAGTGTACGTGGAGTCACAATTTATAACAACACATGCAGTAGAAGGCATTTTAATTAAAACCGTGATGCCGTATTTTAAAACAAATATTTAATATTAATTTATACAAAAAAATAATAAATAAATGCACAGAATACAAACACTACACAAGATATTTCAATAAGTTCAAAAAATGTAAAAAAACTTCAGACCCGATGTTTTTAGCAAACAGCACAAACGTCGAACACAAAGTGAAAATTTGTCACCGTTAAAAAAAATTCAAAAGCCTCTATAAAATTTTAATTTGAGGTTATGTTTACTATGATCAGTAATACCTACATCTGGGAATCTTAGGTTTTTTGGTATGTTGGCAATGCACTTGACTGAACGCCATCACTAGCGCTCCCAGTATTTGTCTCACAAACTGTTATCAGAGTGTACTAGTTCCGTCGTATGGAGTTATACCCCCCTGAACATAGTCCTATAATGTTCTATAGACCCTGCCATAGTCTCTGTCATACACTCATACTCTTCCAGTATTGCAGTCGTCAGTGTGGTTATTTAGGTACTGTTATTCTTTATCGTTCGCTCGTTCAAGTAACACTTAGTAGCTTATTACTCAGAGCTGTGGGAGGCCCGTACAGCCATAGCATACGCATTCGAGTATTCGACTATATTAGTATATTATTATAATTTATATTATTTTATTGTACTATAAATGCGCCCAAACCGTCGTATACTCGCGTTCGTCTTATACTCGCTCTCTAGCTCTATTGTTATTTGTTGTGCTCGTAAGTTACAATTATTGCTATACTCGGTAGAGTGTATAGACACGTGGTTTAAAAAATCAGTCTTTATATCTACTGTTAAAATTCAAAAATTCACGAAACATACGTATACGGCATAAGTAAGTATAAAATATACGTAGTTGTGGTATTTAGTTACTACGACGTACACAGGTAAGTACCTACATGGTTTATGATATCTAACTATTCTAACTATCTATAAGTAATACCTACCTATTTTATAAATCATTATTATTCATTAATTTATTTTCAAACAATAATAATCTATAAGATCGTTGTTTTTAATATAATATATATTCATATTACATCTACATTTATTGTTGTATTAAAAAATTGCAAGTTACCTAATATTGAATAAATTGTTTTAAATATGGCTCATAGACAACATTTTAGTAAGTCTACAAAACGTAGACGATTTATTGAAGAGGTTGATGTAGTTGATCTTTTTAGAGAAAATTCCGGAGAAAGTCTAATACAACTTTCAGAAGTTATACCTATAGCATCTACCTCATCACACGAAAATGAATATACTGCACAGTCAATTATACTTAAATCTAGTTCTTGTAGTGATACTGATGATTTATATAATACAAACAATTCTGATGAATGTGAATTACTGGATAGTTCATCTGATAGTGATATTGATGATTCTACGGATGAACTTTTATATGATATACAGGATTCAGGTTTTAATTTGTGTAATAATGATGCTGAACCAATTTTAAAAGTTTTAGCTCAGTGGGCAGTCGGCCATAATATTACAAATGTTGCTCTATCAGCATTATTAAAAAGCCTGAAATCCCACAAATGTTTCAATAAATTTCCAATTGATGCTCGTACAATTTTAAAAACCAGTTTAAATAATCATGCTATGCATATTCAATCAGTTACACCCGGGAAGTATTATCATTTTGGTATTTCTAATGAGCTAAAGAAAATAAGTAACTTTTTAAATATCTGCGAAGACTCAATTTATATCAATATAGGAATTGACGGTTTACCTATCAGCAAAAGTTCGGGGAGCACATTTTGGCCAATCCTTGGTAGTATTGAAAATGTATCATCATCGACATATGTTTTTTTAGTTGGACTTTACTGGGGATTGGAAAAGCCTTTGGATAGTAACTTATATTTGAGCGATTTGGTAAATGAATTAAAAGAATTGTCACACATAGGTATATCTACACCTTATGGTAAAAAGTATGTTGTTGTGAATTGCATTTGTTGCGATGTCCCCGCAAAAAGTTTTATTCTAAAAACAAAAGGCCATACAGGGTTTTCCTCGTGTTTGAGGTGTTTTATCGATGGTGTTCGTATTGGATCTAGAACATGTTTCCCAGGTACACGGTTTATTAAAAAAACACATACAGACTTCATAAATCGTACACATGAAGAACATCATATGACCGATTCAATTTCAATATTAACCGATGTACCACATATTGACATGGTTTGCAACTTTAGTTTAGACTACATGCATCTAGTATGTTTAGGAGTTGTAAAAAAGCTTATTTTATTATGGTTAGGTAATTTGAAATGTGCTCCTCTATCAGTCCGCCTACAATCTAGAAGTGTACATGTTATTTCTTCTAATCATTTGTCACTTAGACCATTCATTACTAATGATTTTTCAAGATATCCCAGGTCCCTTTCTGACGTGTCTAGATGGAAAGCTACCGAATTTAGACTTTTTTTGCTTTATACTGGGCCCATAGCATTGCAAGGTGTCCTGAAAGGTGAAGTGTACAAACATTTTTTATGTTTGCATGTGTGCTTCAGAATTTTGTTAACTCCAAGCATCAGCATAGAGTTAATTGATTATAGTGAGAAGTTATTAGTTTATTTTGTTGACAAATATGAAACATTATATGGAAAAGAATTCAATTCTCACAACATCCATGGGTTACTTCATATTGTTGATGATTATAGAAAATTTGGTTCCCTAGATAGGTGTTCTTGCTTCCCTTTTGAAAATTACATGAAATTCCTAAAAAAAATGATCCGAAAACACGAAAAACCTCTTGAACAAGTAATTAAACGATATGAAGAAATTTCAGAATTTTGCAAACCCACCCTTGTTAGTTTGAATAATCATCAATTACATGTAATAAAAGAACATCATGATGGACCACAAGTTGAATACTGTACTGGCTGGTCACAATTTAAATGTATTATTATTAATAACTTTAAAATAGTTACATCATCAAACTCTGATTGCTACATAGGTTACGAAGCACAAGGCAAACTAATCATTTGTAAAGTTTATAATATATGCAAAAATTCCAATGATAATGACAATGTAGTATTTATTGTTAAAGTGTTTAAGAAAAATGAAATATTTTTTGATAAGCCAGTTAATAGTTTTAAATTAGGAATAGCTATTGTAGATAATTTATCAAACAATTTTGAAATAGTTGATGTTCATACAACATTCAGAAAGTACATGATATTGCGTAACAATGAATGTGTATCAGTTGCTTACCCAATTTTACATTCTAATTCAAATTAATAGATATTCATTGTTAATTAATAAGTTTTAATGTTTCATTATTAATATTTAAAACATTTCATAGTAATCTACATTACCTACATTTTATATATTTGTATTTTACAAATTTTTTTTATTTAACTTTTATTATGTATATAATTAATAATTATACAAAATGTGTTTATTTGATAATTTTTTAATGTATTCCTACAAATAGATAATCCCAATACATCACATGGATTTTTTTTAAATTGTATTTTTAAGTCCTATCTACTTATATTTTTACTGATTTCTATGCTATTTTATAATAACTTCAGGATAACAAATCTACTTTAATATACCTACTACAAGCAAAACAAAAATATTTAAATATAAGTTATGTATAATATTTTGTTTCTTATAGAGCTAATATGGATTCATCATATTCCATTGTACATTTTTTTGATGATGATACAGTCGAGGCCATCCCATCATTTTGGATGAAAGACAAGATGTGTGCCTGGCCCAAAAATAAACTTTTTATAAAAAAGTTTATTGAGAAAAAAATGGCACTAAATGATAAAGAATTCAAATACCTAAAAGCCAGGGTACTTTCTAAAGGCATAAGTAAGTTAAAATAGTATTTCTATGTAAGGAATAGTCTTAATTATATTCAAATACATTTTTAACAATTATAATTTGTTATTTAAATGTAAAGGAACTCTTGAACATGCACGGAAATTGGCCGATGTAGGCCTCTACCGATCCGATTTTTCAGCTGATGAGTCATTTATTAATAAACCTTCTAGGAACTTGCAGTCTCCTACATCATCTACATCATCTATGCCTCTATTTGAAGGTAATAAATTAATATTGTACAATGCACATAATTTTTCAGGTTTTTGTACCTAGGAAACTTTATTTACATTTATAGTACTTGATTTTTCTAAATTTAAACTTAAAATCTCTTATGATTTTTGTAATTAATAAACAATGTAAATTAGCAGATGTTGAAAATGAAGACAAACACCAATCTCAATTTAAAAATGAAGGAATTAGTATATCTGAGAAAAAAAATGGCTGGTCACCTTCTCCTCAGAAATTGAGATGTGAGTATATTTATGTATACCTAATATATAAACTAAATACTTTTATACTTATATAATATAATATATTATTTTGTGTATAGTATGTTTAAACATAACATGTACACAGTCTGCATAAATTTGAAAATTTAAGTTAATTTCACCATTTAAAATATATTTATAATTTAATTAAATGTTATTAGTAATCAAATATAATGTTAAAATTAAGTCAAAAGGCTAATTTAAGCTTCCTCTGATTTATGTTGAATAAAAATGTAAATCGCATCATTATAATATCACATTATTATATTATAATAATATATGTCTCAAAATTATAATAAATTGTATAATTATAAACAAATTTGTACATATTTTAGTGCTAAAAAGTCAACCAACTACTACAATGTTTCCATCAAATTCTAAATTGTCGTCGAAATCAACATCACAAGAAGGTAGAATATTTACATTCCTAGTAGTATACAATTTATTTTGAGTATAATAGTCATGCAATACATTTTAAATTCTAATTTGTAGCTATCAAAAGTTCAAGCAATAAACGACTTCAATTTAACCAAGATGAGAACGAACAAGCATCAGGCATTGAACTAAAACGAAAGAATAGTGGTAACTTTTATTTTAAATGTAGTTCCGCATTATGAAAAATAATGTTGTTGTATAATTTTTAATTTTATATATATGTATAGGTATTAAAAATCCAGTATCCAGAAAAAAGTTATTTGGCAATAAATCAAATGATGAGCATGTCATGTTAAATGATGGTAAGTAAAATACTGTTAGGTTTATTTTTTGTAATTTTGCAAAAAACAAACATACTTATAGCTTAACGATAAATTATTAAATATAATTTTGAATATCATGTACTTTTAGTTGTTAATAGTTCAGAATACAGGAATATTAGTTTTGAAAATGATTCCAATGAACAAGGTGTTGTGGACATTAGTCCAAGAAATATAAACAGTAAGCTAATTTTTATTAAAAAATTAAATAATGGTAATATTTAATGTCTCATAAATCATAATTTGTGTTTACAGACAGCAAAAGGCAAAACACACATAATATTTCAATTGGAGAAAGAGATGATCTTGATGAACAATTGTTTAGTAGACCAATAGGACACAATAGTAAGAATTTTGAATATAATAATCATTCAATATATTAAATTTTATATTTGAAGCTTTCAAAGGTTCAAGCAATAAACGACTTCAATTTAACCAAGATGAGAACGAACAAGCATCAGGCAGGGAACTAAAACAAAATAATAGTGGTAATTTTTATTTTAAATGTAGTTCTGCATTATGAAAAATAATGTTGTTGTATAATTTGTAATTTTATATATATGTATAGGTATTAAAAATCCAGTATCCAGAAAAAAGTTATTTGGCAATAAATCAGATGATGAGCATGCCATGTTAAATGATGGTAAGTAAAATACTGTTAGGTTTATTTTTTGTAATTTTGCAAAAAACAAACATACTTATAGCTTAACGATAAATTATTAAATATAATTTAGAATATCATGTACTTTTAGTTGTTAATAGTTCAGAATACAGGAATATTAGTTTTGAAAATGATTCCAATGAACAAGGTGTTGTGGACATTAGTCCAAGAAATATAAACAGTAAGCTAATTTTTATTAAAAAATTAAATAATGGTAATATTTAATGTCTCATAAATCATAATTTGTGTTTACAGACAGCAAAAGGCAAAACACACATAATATTTCAATTGGAGAAAGAGATGATCTTGATGAACAATTGTTTAGTAGACCAATAGGACACAATAGTAAGAATTTTGAATATAATAGTCATTCAATATATTAAATTTTATATTTGAAGCTTTCAAAGGTTCAAGCAATAAACGACTTCAATTTAACCAAGATGAGAACGAACAAGCATCAGGCAGGGAACTAAAACAAAATAATAGTGGTAATTTTTATTTTAAATGTAGTTCTGCATTATGAAAAATAATGTTGTTGTATAATTTGTAATTTTATATACATGTATAGGTATTAAAAATCCAGTATCCAGAAAAAAGTTATTTGGCAATAAATCAGATGATGAGCATGCCATGTTAAATGATGGTAAGTAAAATACTGTTAGGTTTATTTTTTGTAATTTTGCAAAAAACAAACATACTTATAGCTTAACGATAAATTATTAAATATAATTTAGAATATCATGTACTTTTAGTTGTTAATAGTTCAGAATACAGGAATATTAGTTTTGAAAATGATTCCAATGAACAAGGTGTTGTGGACATTAGTCCAAGAAATATAAACAGTAAGCTAATTTTTATTAAAAAATTAAATAATGGTAATATTTAATGTCTCATAAATCATAATTTGTGTTTACAGACAGCAAAAGGCAAAACACACATAATATTTCAATTGCAGAAAGAGATGATCTTGATGAACAATTGCTTAGTAGACCAATAGGACGCAATAGTAAGAAGTTTTATTGTTTAATTTTAATTGTTTTTCAATATTATAATATACAACTATATTATTATACAGTTAGTAATGGTATCATAAAGAAAAATAGTTCGGCGGCTTATAATAACTCAACAGAATTTGTTCATAATATAAATGGTACATAATTTAAATTAAATGATTGTTACATACTTTCAATATTATTATTTATAAGTTTTGTTGTTTCCCAGATCTATTGCAATCTCAAAACCAACAATTGAGAAATATAACATTCTTAAAGTATGAGGTGAAACAAGTATTAAGCAATCAAACAGTAATACTTGATAAACTGGACCAGATAGAAAAGTATTTGGAACAAAATTCATTTAATAAGCCTGTGATGGAAGTTAATAATGTTGACTTTAGTGATTGTCCTCTGCCAATTGATAACACTTATGACTTACAAACATTTGAAGACAAAATATCGGGCGATCAAAGTTATAAAAATCAATTGGTAAGTTAATCAACTTAGTTCATTATACTATGTGTTAATGACAAAGGGAGACTATATTGTTGCTTACATTATACATAATATGTCAGATAAGAGAATTTTTTTTAAGCTGATTATAGTAAAGATATTAATACATCATGGGCATTAGGCATTTAAAATAACGTTTATAATTTTAGCACAATATTATTTAATATTTTCAGATCACAGAACTTTCTCATATAGGAGGAAAAAATGTGAAATCAGTTGTGAAAAGACTTATGTCAAAACTTTTTTCCGACAGTTTACTATCAGAGTACTCTTATACGGGTAAAAAAGGGAAAAAAAATTTTCAAGTTTATTTATATGTTCTGTTATTTTTGGTAAGGATGCAATAATTAATATTTGTGATCATTGATTATAATATATATATATATATTTTTTTTAGAAATTAACTGTAGGCATCATTGCCATTGGAAGACATAATATAGTCTATTTAATTATATTAAATTACCTATTTTTCAAATATATATTATAATATCAATGCTAGTACTTTTTATTAAAAAGATACTATATAATATTTGTTGGAATTTGAAATTGTTTCTTATGAAATGTTATATCTACACTCCATTCACATTAAGAAAGAACCTAACCCTAAGTGGTTTTCATCGGGCAGTAGTGAGGAAACACCCGTCCTCACCAAGTCAACGCCCATGCGCTCAAATTGGCGGCTATAGGTTCCTTCTTAATACGAATGGAGGTATATTAGTGTCGCTAGTATGATGTTGTTATCATTATTAATTAAACAAATGATTTTGTAAATATTGCCCTGTTGGCTAATTATGACTGCCGACTCCAATATTATCCTGTAGTTGGCTATCTACAGAACTGTTTTATATGTCTATGGTATACACATATACATATTGTTAAATTTCCGTGCGGATTTGATACTTAAAACTTTCTCTCCTTTTTTGTATTTAATGATATAACTATATAAGTACAACATGCTTTTATACTTTTTAATATCACTTATGAAATAAAC